TAATGTATATTAACGAAACATTTAATTAAGTGTACATCGGAAATAAAATACTGAGCTTGTAAAATTGTAAAGGAATTATTGTTAATTCGATTTAAAGTAAATACGTTTCTTAGCACATGACTCTTCCCATTTATTCTTCACACAGTTTTAATTCCAATAGTGCACAGGAGCAGAGTTTCTGTACAGTAACGGATATGCATATACGAAAGGTAATACTGCTTACATATTAATGTCTGCAGTTCTATTGAAAAGAAATCACTCAGTTGATTACAGTAGGCATATATTCAAAATCGATAGTGACAATTTTTTCAGATTTTGCTTTAAAAGTACAAAATACCCATCACTAATGATGGAACTTTGAAGTTAATCTTGCATTCTAGTGATGTATTTCCGAATGTAGTTAAAATTCGCATGGAGTGTTTCCATGACATTGTGTTCTCAGTTATTCAAGACATTTTGAAATAGAAAAGCTCTTAATCTCCTCTTCCAGAACAAATAAAGTGTTCGAACTCTTGTTTCACGTTTACCCAGACTTAATGCCGTCATTGTTCAAGGATCTGCAGTGATTAATCACACTTCAAAACTTCACAGTAAACGTATTTACTTTTCTGAATAGAAGTTTAAATTTTCTCGAAACTCACAGAATAATCTTTGGGACATTTCCGAAATAATGCTCATGTAAATGAGAATAAAAAATTTATTCGATACCCAGACAAATGGCATGTCTGCGTCCAGAAACGAGAATTGCTTAATTGAAGGGATAATTAGTGATGCTAATTAACGCCATTTCCTTGGCCCAGAGTGAGAGCGTAATGCTAATTCAGAGTTTCATTGCTCAGCAAAGTAACTTTTTCCTTTGAAGAAAAAAAAAAAGCAGATTTAACATACTTTTCCGGAAATAAATACGGTTATGCATAAATTTAATTTCAATGTTAAAATTGAGATTCTGTTCATCTTTTGCACTTGGATACATTCTTAATCAATTTGCTAAATTTTATTGTTTTTATGTAGTCCGATTCCTATTTATTTCTTTGAATCTAAATTCTTGAATGTACAACTTACAGCCTTTTTGAGTAAATCTTACTCACATTTATGCTTCAAAAGATTTCAAGTGCGGTTTTTTTTTAAAAATAAAAATGCTGTATTTTGCTTTCTTTTTTTGGGGGGAAACAAGACATTGATAGTTATTTAGATTTTGATCAACAAATAAATATATCTTTTCAGTCGAAATCAGAGTACATAAAGCATCAATAAATCAGAAGATAATATAACACATATTGATGATTATGTAACATGACAGTGTAACCTAGACTAATTCCTATTTATTTCTTCTAAGACGACTTTTTGTATGTACAACAATACTGAATAAATATTACTCACATTTATATTTCAAAAAATTTCAAATACACTTTTTTTAAACCAAAATTCTGAATTTTCTTTCCTTTTCTTTTCTTTTCTTTTTTTTTAATTTTTTGATAACAAGACATTGACAGTGCTTTTCGCCAACAAATAAATATCTCTTTCCAGTCGATATCAAAGCACTGAAAGCATCCATAGATCGTAAGATAATATAACACACATTGATGATTGTGACATGACAGTCTAAAGAATTATACTTTTAAAAATCAACAATTTCAAAAGCTATAATTTCTTGATACGTATATGTTTACCAGGTTTTCCCAACTGCAGCACTTTTGTTATGGTTCTAATAAACATAAAACAGCATTCAATTATTCCTTAACTCATAAATTATGGTTTAAAAATCATAAATTATTTTACAGAAGAGTTCTCGATTCTTGTGCGGCTTTTAATCCATCACCACTTTGGAAATCACTTTGGAATCACCACTTTTTGGAAATTCTTTATTTTTATTTCTATGACCCATTAGATCGGTATGCGGCAGAATGTTTGATCCTCTATATGTTTATATACTCATGGATATCAGGAGCTATCCATTTTATAACCTCGTGACATGTAGGCTTTGTGATCTTAGAAATGTTTGTCGACACTTTCTTTCTTTTCGCCATCGACGGAACAGCTGGCCCACTGGGTTAGGTGCTTTTCAGCCTGTTGGATTCCGTCGATGGAAATAAAAATAAATACATGAATAAATATAATTAATGAGCTTAGACATCAGACACTGGAATCATATCACTACGTAAATACGTTTTTTGTGCTGGGATTTCACTCACTTTTCACAGATCTTTGGCGACTAATAAAATATCAGCCAAACGAAAGAAAAATTCAGTTAGTACATTTTAGTGTACAGAAGGCTTACTCCAATACCTCATAATACTTCATTAATTGCAATGATTAACAATAGGGAAACTAAACAAATATTCTATGAGAAACAGTTGCCGGGATAGTGGTTAGTGACTCTGACTGTCGACCCATAGATCCCGGGTTCGAATCTCGGAGAAGGCATAGATGTTTGTAAACGTATAATGTCTGTGCGGCATGGGGACACTTTAAGTATGCAACGAACCGTTAAGTCTTCTCGAAAGGTTGGTGGGGGAAGACGGACGGGAGATCCTCGAACACATTCCCCCTGGGCTGCTCACCATCAATGTTGGGGGCGGAACTGGGCAACGTCGTTCTGTCACCTGTATGGTGCTGAAGGCTCTTGCCAACGACAGGCGCAGTTTTGCATTCCTTACCCCCACGAATTTCTTGTTCTGATGTTACTTTTAGACAAGTGAGATAAATCACAACTTAATAGCATAAGTAAAAAAAAAGCAAATTTCTGTATTATAAGCTTAATTGGAAAAAGTAAAAAATAAAAAAAAAAAAAAAAAAAAAAAGAAAGAAAGAAAGAAAAAATAAAAAAAATTAATTAATACAAAAGCAAGAAACAGAATATAATTTTCGGAAAATCTAAATTATGAGACGAAAGATAGTATTCGATGAGAGTTTATTCAACTTGTGAGTTAGTTTAAGTGTTTCGTAATGAAATAAAAGAAGGAAAGTAATATGTATTTCATTTACGCGAAAGTAATCAGATTTAAGCAGATCTCTCTTTCTTCCTCGATTGGAATTGAGCGCATTGACCGAAGGAGGAATGGTAAAGTGGGAAAAGTACTTTCTCCAATAGCATCTAATCTATTTCTATTGAAGTGATGAGATGAACTCTTTCGAACTAGATTCGATTATCAGTTTTTTCATTGGCTTCTGGCCATTACAGAAGTTTTTCTTAAACGAATCTGGTTTAAAGTCAATTTAATTTTAGGAAAAAGATTAAACTTTACATTTGTCAATGGAAGTTAGTTATTGAGTTCATGAATAGTTTAGTGATGAAATATATATCTGTTCAAAACCTTGAACATTTTAAATAATCTAGAAGATCATTTTTGTATTTAACATCTTACAAGACCTTACCTTTTAACCTTTAAAGCTATCTGAAATTATTAAATGTTAAGTGTTCAGTGGAATTATTAAATATGCGTCCGTCATTTATTAGCATTGCCCATAATTAGCAGTTATAGTGATTATTCCTCTCAGCATTTCAATCACTGGTAATAACATTCATCGAATAAATTCTGCGAAAAATGCTTAGGCTTTTTCTAATGTGTTATTTACTGCAGGAGAGAATTCTTTGTTTTTCCTATCACAGAAAATTATAGGTATTTTTTAACATAGAAGAAGAATGCGATTTGGGACAAAATATCTATATATTATTTTGATATATAGAACTTATATATCTCGCTAATACTAAAGTCTAAATACTGAAACGAATATCACATATTTTCTCACTAATTTTCATAATAATTCGTGTACCTAAAAATAATGTGAAGTATCATCAATCGTTCATACAGTATACTGAGCTTGTAAGCTGTGTGATTAAAAAAGTTATAATATTTGAAATAATTGAAAACATTATAAAGCTACAATGTACATCAGAATGTAAATGATATAATCGCATCTTACCATTTGTTATTAATTTATATACGCTTGTAGAGTCCAGGTGGGTGAACTTCTATCTGAAAACTCGAGTAGCAGGAAACTACACAAGCGAAGGGTTGAAGTACCCTTTATTAAATCTTTGAAAATTTACAATACGTCAATTCGACGCTAAGAAACTTCGCCTGTGCTTGGGCGGTAACTGAAAGTCAGATAATGGAAACTAAAAGTTGAAATATTAACAAGTGATAGAACTAGCCTACAGGGCTCAGAGAGATCCCGTAACTTAAACCCGTTTCGAAGCTAGTGGCAGCAGATAAATGTAATTAAGCCACTTGAATCAGCAATAAGCAACGTAACTACGGCAGAGGTGGCGGTCAAAGCCTAACTTTCTCTAACTCCTACCAAAACTCGGCTTTTACTAAATAACTTCAAATTAGAAAATTTGTGTTCATTCACGCGGGTTACAACATTTACTTATTCTGGCACTGACAATTAGGGGAATGAAGGCTGAACTTAAAATTTAAATTGTTAGTTAAAATAAATAGAAATCACGCTTATCCCGTGGAAATGCAAAATCGTTTGTACAGAGTGCATTCTGGGCATATTCTCACATCATAATTATTCTAATGTGATAGTAGTTTAATTTCTGTCTGTAGGATGTTGTGCATTTCTTAATCTGTGACTATGTGTTAAGATACTGCAGGTGTCATTGATTGAGAAGGCTAAGCATATCTCTGCCTAAAAAAACTTTTAATTTTATGGCTGTGTGTGTTGTTGGACATTTCGATATGTTTATGATTTTCCTCACCGAATTTCATTAACTAATTAATTATTAGAATCTTAGTTTATGTACATTCACACTTTTATTTGCCAAATTCTGGAATTTTTTCTTTATCATTTGCTATAAATGAATAATATATTTAAATACGTATTAGATACTGTCTAATATTCCACACACGCTGAATTGCGAAAACATATCTGCTGCACGAAAGAACAGCCCCGAGAAAAAAATGATTCTACAAGTACATGGGATCACTCTAGTGATATATGTCTTTGGTTTTATTTATTTGATTATGGGGAAGCACTCGAGGTTTACCTACCTGAGGAGAGAAATGCCTTTGTGGAGGCCGTTCTGGGGGAACCTGGCACTTGACGTTTCACATGGGGAGAACCACGAAAATGCAGAATCAGCCAGCCAGTTCTCCGAAATTCGAGCCCTTTACCCAACTAGCAGAGTTCAGCGACTTTACCGCTCGCCACATGATGGGCAGGAATGTAGGAGAGTACTCTAGGAATAAGTGGCAGTATTTTGCCCAGTATCAAGACTGTAGTTCCTGCAAAGGATTTCATAATTTTTTCATATTAGAAATTACAGGTTTCTTTGTTCCACAAAGCATTACATAACATTCCATATATTTCATAACATTAAAATCCGGTAAATAGGATGACCATGGTATGGCAAAATATTCAGATGAGAGTTTCTCTAACCACAGTTTAACGTTTTTAGACTATCTGAATGAAGGCGGGACATGATGGAGAGTGGCTCGTCACAAAGAATGCGCGTACAATATTCACCTGTCAGATACATATTTTTCCAAGTAGCACAGCACGCATAACATCGAATGCCAATAGTAAAAAACGACCGTATTCTTATACACGTAAAACCGTCTCTTATTTACATCTCGGATCAACGAATTCACAATATGTTTGCGATGCACATACCTTTAATACTGCCGAAACAGTTGGAATTGCAACTAATTTAATCTGGCTACTCATTTCTATCCATCAAGCGTTCATCATCTGGTTAACTGAATCCAGGTTAGCTTCATAACGCTGTGGCATGTATTTATCAAGGTTAATCTGATTGGGTGTCGGTTGGTAATGTCCTGATATAAAGTGAACGTTCTGCATTCCTGAGGCCCCTGCCATTAGATTCCAATGTTACTTGACAATAGTTCTAGTGCACCTCGGACGCGCGAAACGATTCATTGAAACTGCTAATGATTGCTTCTAATCATACTAAACGTAGACTAAACGTAGACTATAACACAAATCAAATCTGAAAAGATAACGAATGCAAGAACACACTTCAGTTTACGCCTAAGAGGTGGACTCGCAGAAATCTAACCGGCGTGAAACTGATAAGGCCAAGAGGCTTACTAGCGTTGTCGCGAAATAACAGCGAAACGCGCGCTTGGCTAGCGAAACACGCTCTGAATAAACTGAGATAATCACACGTTTAAATAGCACTTCACTTAACTTTAAATTTACATCCAGGCGAGAGAATGTGAGGGGAAGTTGAGAAGTTTAGAACAGGAAAACTTAAATAAATTTGTTATGCAAAATAAGGAAAACCCTACAGTACTACCAAGAGTTCAGTGTACAAAGTTTTTTTTTTTTTTTCCTTTATGATTAATAAAACTGACGATAGATTTCTTCACATTTCTCTTCTTGTTTCTTAGAGGTAAAACAGTGAAATCATTGACGTTACGATAAACTCACCAAAGGCGATCAGCTCAACATTCGTACTTTTTTTTCTTTCTTTATTTTTAAAGAACTTTGCATTTCATTTTCATTTAACAAAGAATATGAGTTTGTCTGTGACTTAAGTTTCTTTTCTTAAACAGTCACGTGATTTCTGCATTTCCTTGAAATTTAAATTTCGAGTCCCGTCCTTTTTTGTTACTTCAAGAAATAAAACATTTTGGATTTTGCTGTACAATTTTATTACCTAAGAAACAGCTTGAGTTAATCACTAAAATTTAAACATATGTTATCAAAGTTTCTTTCATAAATATTCTCTGATGGAGCCATGAGTTATCCCATTAACATATCAAGACCTAGTTAAAATATGTTGTCGTTAATTCATTCCTTTATTATATTTGTAATGCATAATGTCTTGTAAGAATTGTAAAAAGGAATTAAATCGGGGGATTATTTTATGAACATCTTCATAGAAAGCATTTTTTAAACTGATTCACTTTTAATTGGAAACAGTATAGTGACTATTTAGGTATTTTCAAAAGAAAAAAAATCCGATTTAAAGATTTCTGCTTTCGGGGTAATTTTATACATGCATTTTCTAAGAAGTTCTGAGCTATTCATTCATGATTTTATTCACTTATAGTGTGTTTATATTTGCAGTCAAATTTGCAAGTAAATTCGCATTTAGAAAAACAAATTGACTCACGATTTTAAAAACTCGCCATACTTCGTATAAAATGTTTAGGTAGATGCGCATTATTGCAAAAGCATTTGTTTAGGTAGATGCGCATTATTGCAAAAGCATTTGGAGATTATTTTTAAAATAGAAACTGGAGCATATATATATGGCAAAGCACGTACATAATTCACATATGTAGGAAATCGGCATATGTTTTAAATGCCTGAAATATTAATAATCCGTAAAAATAAAGAGAGAAATAAGTGTAGTTGTAGAGACATTAGGTATTTTTTGGAAGCAGGCAAGATCAAAAATTAGCAACGTCTTCGCCGGGAATCAAACCACTGACCTCTGGAATACCGGCCCAGAGTGCAGACCACCACACCACGAAGGCACACTAGGAAGGCAGGAGGAATACCTTATATACTCCCCCTTTTAAAGGGCGACTGGAGGTTTTAGGGGACCCAATCGCCAAATCCAGGGTGCGGAGAATCATCATACAACACCCTTTTAGTTCGGGCGCCCGTGTAGATTCATTACGATTTCTGTTTGGAAGCAGGCAAGAGGAAAAATGAGCAATCGTCTTCGCCGGGAATCGAACTACGGACCTCTGAAATACAGGCCCAGCGTGCAGACCACCACACCACGAAGGCATGGCTAGGAAAGCTGGAGAAATACCTTATACAGTAAACCCTCGTTAACAGGATTATCAACTGGCCGAAAAATCAAAAGCTCGCGTTTAAAGAATTTATGTTAAACTAGAACTCAAAATTATACTTTTTTTTTATTTTTGGAGGGATTTTTTTCCCCATATTTATCATTTACAGTATATAGGTTTTGACATACTAGAGTAGAAGGCATGTGTGTCTTAATAGACAATACTAAAGTTTTACATTATTTACTTTACTGCAATTGAAAAATGTGTAATCACTGACCATTTTCTGGCGACCAGTTCATTTATATCGCGCTGTCGCAGACGGGAAAGAAAATGCCTGGAGACTTCAAGGCCAGCTGTACTTAACTAGCGGCCAGATGAACTGTAAAACTAGCTGTCAATTCGGATGTTGCAGCGAAACTTTCTGTATAAGGCGTGTAACATTTCCCAGAGGGTGGGCGGAAGGATATTACCCTCTTCACTTTCTTCAGCTGACATTTCTTGCACCTCATACACAACTGCATTACATCAGATTCTTCTGGAGCACACACAGTAAAATTGTCATCTGCACTAACAAATTCTTCAAAGCTTAAAACTAATGTTCGCAACGTCTTGTAGAATACTTCATTCGTCAGATGAAGTGTTGTAGTTGTTACCATCTAACTCATCAGCAGGATTAACGTATTTATGTCTCCAGGCTGTTCTAAAACAATTCTGTATGTGTTGTGATGTCACGCATTTTCTCGATGAAGAAATAGCTTTTATTGGATCAAGCACGTTCCAAGTTGGCGTTCCCATCTCAATTTCAACATAACTAATTGCAACTCTCACAAGTCCCCAGCGCTAAGGTCTCTTCATAACAGCAATAATGCCTTGATCCAAAGGCTGAAGACGAGGTATTGCATTTGTAGAAGAAAGTGAACTTTACTTTGATTAAGTTCAGATCTTGTAAGTTATAGGCTGTACACTTGGCCTATTTTCAGGCACCGTACGACTATTCAAAGGAAGAAGATAGTTTCGAAATTATGAACTGACGATCCAAACTTTCTTATGGCGAGGTTAGATGCAAGAAAATGTAATGTTTATATTCTTAAAACAACGTGGTTTCTGTAACTTATCGATGACCCAAGTAGGGTTTTTATCACTGCTGTCTGCATTACATACAAGGACAACAATTAAATGTTGTTTACTGCGTGCTCCACCATGACACTTGTCACCTTTCACTTCGAGGTTACGACTTGTAAACAAGTCCAGTTTCATTCCTATTGTTGACTTTACATGAGGCATACTTTCTCTCACTTGGTTAAATCCATAAAACTTGCTCCTTCCTCATCAACTTTATTCACTTCGTTATAAATTAATAATGATGGAATTGCGTGTCTCTTTTGGAATCGGTACAGTCAACCAGCGGACCAAGTGAAATCATGAATGCTTAAACTGTTTTCAATCTGTTTTGCTTTGGACTGAATTATAGGTATTTATAATGGTACATTGGAAGTAGTTCAGCACTCCAGTAAATCTATACAAATATTTTATTCTAACTAAAATTCATTTAAGTTTTAACTTGGATTATTTATTTTGTAAGCATTATCATACGAAGTTTTAGAACGAAGAGAAGATCATGAATTCGCTCCAATGACCATTTGAAGAAGAAGACAAGATGTTAAATTTACCTGATTAATTTGTTATTGTATAAGATTTAATATGAGCTGTACTTGCTAACTTTTAATAAAATAAAAATAAAACCGAACGCCTAATTACATTTATTGCTCATTGTTGACGCGACTAAATTTCATTGTTCACATAATGATCGGGACTTTCGAGTAGTGTTATTCGTGCTAGCTAGGGTTTAAAGAATAAAGTGTATTCTATGACTTTTTCACGGAACGAAGCATTTCTGAAAGCATATAAGATCATTCACATCGCAGCCGGGATACCCAAATTTTGTTCATGTTAACTGAGTTAAACGAGTTCGTCATAAAAGTGGTTTAACTTCACATAATATAATATATGCTAACACAGGAGGATATGTTGATTTGGATACCGCAAAGAGAATGATAATTATCCCTTTTAGTTGAAGAACGTCTTCTGTATGGGCCTTTCATTTTAATTACTTTCTTGTTTTGTATTTATGCTGCGCGCAAAAGAAAGCACAAAATCTCACATACAACCTAATTGTTTGCTAAGATCTGTCCAGTGGTTGAAGTACAGCAGTTTTGTCGGTCGGCCAATACGGGTAAAAAAGCGAGGAAATCCTGTCGTAAAAATGTATGTACGCAGTTGAGAAGATTGACAATGATTGTTTTGACTAAATTACTTCCATTAAGTAAGGATTAAAAAAAAGAACTCTTTCTATTATTTTAAGTATCGACTCCTTATTTATCATTTGTTATGAATGTTGCTAGCCGTGAGAGGTTTCTACTTCCTCTTAGGGAGGAAACTAAACTCTTAAGAATTTGCTAATTACCAAACTTTTAGTGATCGTATAGTGAATTTTTTTAATGCATTGCGTAGTA